ATAATGTTGTGAGCATATCATAACACTGTAATAAATCTGCCGTTGCGTTCCGTATTTATTACTCCGCCTTACGACGTCCTTTTATATGTTCAAAATTTTGATTATTTTCATTGATAAGGATCCGAATTGGGGCAAAACGTTTGATTTGTTAATTTATATTATTGATTTATTAATTTATATTATATGCATTAATATATTTTTTTAAAGCAGTACATAATTATTATGCTCTAAATGCACGTCCAGGCTCCAATTGGCCTTTCCCTTTTTTATTAATTGTCATTCAATGATAAAAATTCTGCAATATTTTGAACGATATATCGAATCTGCATCCAATATTTGTTATTCCCATATTTTAATATTTTTCTATTTTTTGAATTTTTGAACAAGCTCGGAGATTAAATTCTCTCAATAAGTTGAATTATCCAAAACGAATTATCACGAAAGCACGAAAACAAAGCAATAATTGTTACGAATTATATGCTTATTCGAGTTTACTGGCATAAAGAGAATTATGGTTATTACTGTTTTAGTTATTATTGTTCGGTTATTATTATTATTATTTCAAAATAATTTTCTTATTGTTAATATAAATTCAGTGATATTTTACTTTGCTCGTGATTATTTGCGCGCGCGCACGTTAAAAATGGTTTTATATAACTATAATAAACTTTTTATTACGCACGCATTATCAAAGAAGCAATATCGTTGTTTCAACAAATAATTCAAGCGTGCGCGAGAGTTTCAAAAATGTATAATAGAGATCGTAACGAATTCGTGCAAGTATAATTTTTCTTCTTGCGTCTTTTTCTAGATGCAAATTAAAGCAAATTTAAAATACGATCGATGGTTCGATAACGCAAGAAAGAAACCAACCACTAGCTTCTCCATTTTTTTTTTATCCTCATTTCTTATATTTAGCTAAAATACACACAGCAACAGTTATTATTAGATAAAAATTTAATTTATTGTTACATTTGAATCATATTGCACACAAAGTCTATAAAAAAAACTGTAAAATACAGTGTTATAAAATGATAAATCAAGATAAATAACAGAATAATCAAAATTAATCAAAATATTTATGTGTGGTTAGAGACTCTAAAACTTATTTTTATCGTAACAATTTGTATCAGTGCCAATTTTCTATCCCTTCCTGTTCGAATGACGCAAACTACTGTAAAATACGACGTGTCATCCGATAAAACAAAATGAAACAAAATAACCGGCACGTCGCTTTTTTTTCTTTTCTTCTTACTCTTGACGATATGGTCGACGATAGGCCGGACCGATAAAGAAGAATCTTAACGAGCGGTTGCAGTGAGGTTAAACTATACAGAGCCGTTGCGGCAAGGGGGCGGTTTAGCGGCGCTAGGAGGTCGACCGGTTATTAGAACGTAGAGCACGAGTTGCCGGGAAGGTGTCTAATAGCCCGCCAAGAGTACAATCGCCCTCGAAAGGTTTCGGTGCGGGGTACGTACTTTACATATATTTGCATCCCGCCGCCACAAATCCAGCCGATCGCGGAAGGTCGTTGCGGGTAACGCGGGGGAGGCGTCTCTATCTTGGCAAGCCACTCGAGAGAGCTCGCCGAGGTGTGAAATCTTTAATCTGTTCAACTAAAATATATTTATTATATTAAACTTTATATATTCTCTCTTTAAATCATTTATATTCATATATACCTTATTTATATTTTATATTTATTTATATTGTCATTAATCTTAGGCTTTTCTAAATAGATAATAATTTAAATATAGTAGCTGCTGCTGTGGTGTAGTGCTCCTTTATCAAATTTTTTTTTTAATTGATAGAGACAAGAACATGCTAGCATGTAAAATATAAAATTATAAAATATCTATATCATTAATATGCAATAAGATATTAAATCATATTACGCGATACATAAAACGATTTTTCTCGGAAATAAATGTTTAATTATACATCCATTCATGAACGTTCAGCCGTCTCACTTAAATCCTAGTTAACGTGAGCTTTGCAATGTATCAATGGGATACTATCTGTGAGCTTGTTAAGAGATATAAATCAGTAAGCTCAGCTGAGATATTTATGGAGATACATTAGCTTTCCACAAGAGTATAGAATGCCAGCATTTATTTGGTAATTTCCGGCAGTCCGATATTCATCTCCCGAATACTATTGCGCCAGAATGCGATAGAGTTGACCAATGATCTCCGGAGATCAGGCTTTGCGTCAAATCTTTGTCACGTCAACTGATAATTGGTAGTGAAAAAATTACGTTCGTTAATCTAGAAAAAAAAAATAAGATAAACTTGATGTGCCCAATCTAATGAAAATGTGGGATAACCGACAAGTATAACAATAATGAAAAAATACTCAAATCTTTGAGAGCAATTGTGTTTTATATCAAAATCTTTAACATATTAAATTAAACAATAATATAATTTTACTATTTTATTAGCAAATATTTGATTATCATTCAATGACGTCACATTAAAAAATGTTACGAATACTGAATTAAAGTTAAAAGTTAAAATAAAATAGTTTTACGAGAAAAAAAAGAGAATAATATAATAATAATTTATAACAGTTTAATTGCCAATTTATAATTTCGCGTTATACTGTATAATAATTAAGAAAATATAATATATTTCCCGCTAAAGAATTCGGGCAAATTAAGGTGAAGATCAACCTTACGGAGCTTATGATGTTGTACGTAGTATTCCCCAGAGTGTCGCGAAACAAATAATCAAGGATTGAATATCGGTGTCTTGTAGTAGCAATCACGGCTTCCTCTAGAGGTACTATGGTGTCCGCCAAGACGACCATAGTTGGCAAAGTTTGACAAGTTGGCGGTAACAGGGACGGTGGTGCCAAGTGCCAAGAAAGTTCCGAGGAAGGATCAGTTGATGCATACTCGCAGGAAGAAGGATGCGCCCTGCCAGCAAAGGACGTGTTCCGCGGGACAATCGCGAGTTACGTATACATGGAAAACGCTGAATCCGCCTGTGCTTAGTCGAATTTCGCAACGACTAGTCGAGAATCCTGGAGTTTCTGATGGCGTGGGTTACAAATTCACGAGCAATCCCGAACGCACGATTTGCTCGCAAATATTTGTCGGCAGCGGTCCTTAAATCATTCCGGAATTCTCATTTTCCGCTCAATTTTCCGCCTCTTAGGCTTTATAAGAAAACCGGAAATTACGCGCAATATTTATATATATATAAGTTTATACATATATATAAGCCGGTTTCAAATTATATGTATACAACACATGACAATATTATTTTTATTCAAGTAGTGACTTTTAAATAAAAATTGCGTGATAATTATTTTTTTACACATTTATTTATATTATTATATTGCGAGTAATTAAAACGGTTTCTAATGCGATTATGCAAATGTAAATGTGACGAATGTAATTATCCAAGCAAGCAATTTAAAATTAAATATTCTTGTAATTGTGTCAAAATATATATTGGGTTGAACGGAAAGTTCGTGCCGTTTTTTCGGTCTTCATCTCTTAGTAAAAAACCGAACTAACTTTCCGTTCAACTCAATAGTTCGTTCCATAGGTTTTCGAATAATCATCAATAGCCGAAAAAACACTTTTCGGTACATTTGAAATTGGTTATTAACTGGTTTATTTCAAAACCTATGGAGCGAACTACAATCACTTTGATCTCATTTGAAAGATAATTTAATTTTCTACAACTTTTGTTTCGGTACTTTTTGTTAAAAGACGCATACTTTCCCTGATATTTGTAAAAATGTAAAAAATAACCGTGATTTCAGAGGTTTTTGGGCGCTAACTTTTTAAGGAAGCATTTTTCGACCCATGTATATAGAAATCATTTTGATCTCATTTGAAAGATAATTTAATTCCAAACAAAAAGTTTTCTATAAACATGTGTCGAAGAATGCTTCCTTAAAAAATTAGCGCCCAAAAACCTCTGAAATCACGGTTATTTTTTACATTTTTACAAATATCAGGGAAAGTATGCGTCTTTTAACAAAAAGTACCGAAACAAAAGTTGAGAATTAAATTATCTTCCAAATGAGTTCAAAGTTATTGTATTGGGTTGAACGGCACGAACTTTCCGTTCAACCCAATAGTTATATGAAATGTTATTATATTATACGAAATAACCAAAGAGAAGATAGAAAATAATATACACACATGTCAAAACTAACGAATTATTGTAAAATCACATTTTCTTCAATAAATACATCCAATCTCTATCGATGTCTTCTACAACTATTTAATTTTCAATTATCAAAATTATTAATAATTATGTGATATCGCAATGAAAAGATTTCATCAAATGCAAATAAAATACAGATAAATCACTTTATACTTAATAAGACCTTTGTATATATAATTCTTTATAGAGAGCCTTTATACCTTTAACGTTGCTGCTCACAATTAGCGAACAGTAATAACACCATGGAAGAATGAGTGGCTTGTAATGCGACGAGAGATTCTATCAAAGAAATCCTGTCACTTATCCAAGATAAAACAAATGAGCGTACCACGCAGAGTTGGTACATTCAAAGGATCGTGTCCATTGCCACTCATCAGTGAAATTGCACTAGTTACGCAGCTGGATCTGTCAGTTTCTTTGTGTAACATGATAATCTGTATTGAGTGCGGAGTGTAACGTAGAGAGAAAAGGCATTTGTAATTTTCGAACAGATAATAATGCTGAGCGTGATATTATATTTATCCGATATTCCCTCAACGGCGAATGTGGTAATGCTTTACCCGACAAAAGCTTGCAATAATCATGATTTATCATTTATTTGATATAATAATAAAACGTCCGAGTTTTATAGTGCAAATAAAAATTTATATTACATTATATTGCATAGGTAATAAATGTTCATTCAGATAATGTAGTAATATTTTCAATAGAAATTATTAATAGTAACAGAAATTATTAATGCGTAGTTTTTCAATATATATATATATAGAACAATGACGATCTTTTAGAGGAGAATTAAAAGAGTTTGATCTTTACCAACAACGTCGAGAAAACCAACGATGCTGGACATCGGGTCAGTATTAACCTGGCACATGTACCAACCGCTGTCAGTCTGGCGCGTATCTTTTATATGCAGAGACCACGTTCGATGGCCAATGTGTGTCACTGCGATCCGATGATTCTTCGTGATAACGTGACTTGATATCGTCAGAATCGTCTGCGTATCGACTCGTAGCCACGCTACCTGCAACATAAAAATAGAATCAGATAATGAGTAATAATATATAATTTAATTTGTTTATAATTTAGTCGTATTATTGTTATTGTAAAACTTGATATATTGTATCTCTGCTATGATTTTGTGTTCTAATGCTTATGTTATAATACTTAGTTTATATCAAGTTTATGCAACGTGTATAACATAAATAGAATTTCAAAATTACCATACTATGCTCGATGTGAAAGTGCAATATAAATAACAGCTTCGTATTATACGCAGAACGGCATCTTATTGCTCTCAAGTATTTTGAGAACTTTCTGGGGAAGGTTTCAAAGCAAGAAAAAGTTTTATGTAAATACCTATATACACGAAATGCAATGCTTCCTAGATATAAATCAATTCGTGCTGGCAGCTCAGACGAATAATTGTGGAAGGTAAAATGGAGAAAATATCAAAGAAATGTAAAAGTAGTAATGTTATTCTGCAATACCAAAGTCTTTTATATTGATTGGCTTTTTAACAAGAAAAATATATCAATATTTTTGAAATTATCTTTAAATAGCTTTAAAAATATTTTATATATA